TGCAGCACAAGTTTGTTTAAGTTTCTTAGAGTAGTCAGGAGGCTGATGTTGTCTGGTTCCCTTCACAGATGTGGCTCAGTGATAATTTAAAGCCCATGACAAGTCTCCCTCATCAAGCAAGTACTGTTACATCAAGGAATAAAATTGTCTCCTTTCTCATTAATTTCTTTTTTTTCCCTCTTTCCACATTTTTTATTAGAGCATTATAGTTACACATAATGAGGGGACTTGTTGTTACATATTTGTACATACACACAATATAACAATATAATTTGGCCAGTATCACCCCCCAGCACTTCCCTCCTTACTAATTTCTAATTCTGAAATCAGGACAAGGTCACCAAAATATTTTAGTGATGGAAAAAGACAAAACATCAATGGTAAAGACCAACGCCATCTCCAGTTCCAAAACACTATATATATATATATATATGGAATACTGAGTGTAATTATAAAATGTCTTTAAAGACATTATTGGAAATCTTATTTGCACAGTTTTTCCAAGCAACAGTCAAGTTTTTAAAATACAATTGTATACCTTTTTCTACATCTATCATCACTCCATTTCCCTCATGTCTCTGTATTAAGCTAGACAATTTCCTTGGACAAATATTCCATAGCATGTTATCTTTTTTATTTACCCTTTAGCCTACATACACGATTAATACATCACTACTGTTATTTAACACTAAGAAACATTCCTTCTACTACAGTGAAACTGCCTTTTCCTTAATTACCAATGACCACCAATAGTTAATCCAAAAATTATCACTAATTTTTCTGTAGAATCTAGGGCCAGTAATCATCCTTCTGCCACTTAGAACTTTTTGTTTCTTTGACAACACTCTCCCAATTCTCCTTCTATCTCACAGCCTGTTCAATTCAGCTTCCTTTACCAAATCTACTTCCTCCTCCTGCTATAGAAACAGTCCCAAGGTTCTGCCCTTGGCCCTCAAAATTCCCACTGCAATCCCTTCCTCCGTGATTTAATTTAATTTACTTCCATGGTTTCCCTACCTCTATCTCCAGCTCTGGCCTCTAGTAAGCTCTAGATTATTTACTTTTAATTGATTACATTCCACAAGGATATCCCACCTAAAATGCCAAATATAGCACATCCATCATGTCCTCAATCTGTTGATCATCCTGTCACTTATTCTCTGTATTCCCTCTGTCACTGTCTCCTCCCACCTACACACATGCATACTTCCTCCCACCCTCCCCCAACACCTCTTTTCATGAGCACTCATCATGGGTCCAGGCACTATGTTAAATGTTTCACACATGTCAACTTTTTTCAGTCCTCACAAAGTATGCTGAAGAAAGTAGGCATCCCCATTTTAAGATGAAGAAACCCAAACAGAGAGATTAAGTCATGTGTCACATAGCTAATAAGTAAGTAAAGTTGGGTTTCAAACCAATCAGTCTGATTTCAAAGACAAAAACACTATATTATCTCCAGTTGCCCAGGCCTCCCCACAGACAGGCACTATGCACTTGATCCTGTGACCCCTAGGATCCTTCTATCTGGTCTTCTTTTCCATTCTCACTGATACTACACCATAGTCATCAGTGCCACTTACCTTTTCTTAGCTTCCCATCTCTCCATATTTTATTATTCACCTATTACTCTCTTGCTCACAAACCATGAGTGGCTCACAGCTACCCACTGTGTACAGGAAAAAGTCAAAATTCTCCAGCCTTGTCCACCACTCTCTTCTTCAATGTCATCATGTTCCAGTTAGATAGGACATGTGGCATTCTTTTGTGACTGCCCAGCATCTAACTCCCTTTTTTAAAAAAAWGTTTATTTAGTTGTCGATGAACACACAGTCTCTTTATTTATTTTTATATGGTGCTAGGGATTGAACCCATACGAGGCAAGCACTTTAACACTGAGCTATAGCCTCCGCCCCCTAACTCCCTTCTTAAGCCTTGAGAATTCCCTACCTCCACAAAGTAGAAGCTGAAAATATAAATACACCTTTCCAAGCCTCCTTTGTAGCTAGCACTAGTGCTTCACCAAGGCCACACCAATTGGATGCATCATGCCTAATTCTGAATTTAGACAGGATTCTATGGAGAACTCTCCCTGGTAGCAGGAGCTATGTGAGTTCCTGGGCAGCAGAGTGTCCAGGCCAGAGGTATTCCACAGTTCAAGTGTAATACCTGCCCTCTGATGGCTGCAGCCATTTTCCTGTGGCTCTTCATTGGAGTAACTGGTACAAACTAGGCTACATAGCCTTTGCACCCGATTTTTCAGTCATCATGATGTTCTATGAGCTACCCACAGCATCCTTTTAAAAAAGAAAAACAAATTTATTTTAAATTGTACTACATATAAGTGTTCTTTGACACCCACATACCAAATTATAGGTATTCAAAATTTACACACATTGATTAATGTTGGTTGGTTTCCTTTGGAAGGAGACTGTGGTACTGACTTTGGGGTGACAAGTTTATTGAAAGGGATCAGTATCCTTTTTTAAAAATATTTTATTTTTGGCTTACATCAGCCAAGTTGGCTGTTTCCAAGTAAGCATACTGACTGGCAATTCACTCATACTGGGTATCTTGCCCATTTCAAACATACCCTTTGCTTTTCTACCTCATATAACTACAACTATTTCTTCTATCCAGAATTATTCTTCTCTGCCTTCTCCATTAATTGAAATCCTCCCTATCCTTTAGTCCAGTATAAATTCTACTTTCCCCATAAATAAAATAGCTAATGCTTAGTGACTGATTTCCTTAGTCCAGGCATTCTCTCATTAGACCTTCTTAAAAACACTAGAAAGAAGACAGTAGCATTATCCCTATTTTAAAGCTCAGGAAATTGCAGCAAAAATAAAATAAGTAAATTGCCCAAGGTCACACAGCTAGTGAACAGAGATGGAGCCAGGAAATTTGACACTTGAACTTGTTAGGAAATGAGCATGTTACAAATTGCAGTTCATCAGCCAAATCTGACTCATCATCTATTTTTATACACCTATGATCTAAGAGTAGTTTTCACATTTTTAAATAGTTGGGGGGGGTCAAAATAGTATTTCACAATCCACAAAAAAATACATGAAATTCCAATTTTTTTTTAAATATATTTTTATTAGTTGTTGATGGATTTTTTTTTTAATTTATATATATGCGGTGCTGAGGATTGAACCTAGTGCCTCACACATGCTAGGCAAGTGCTCTACAACTGAGCCACAACCCCAGCCCATGAAATTCCAATTTTAACTCTATAAATGACAGTTCTATTAAGAGACAGCCATGCACTGACTGTGACACTTTCATGCTACAACAGCAGAGCTGAGCACGTCTGGTATGGGTTTAAAAGCCCACAAAGCCTCAAATACTTAATGTATGGCCCATGACTAAAAGAGTTTAAAATATTGTTTTTAACCACTACATTATATTGCCTCTCTTTAAAAAAGACTTCCCTGGTCCCTTAATTCCTCCGAGATGGAATAAAGTTTTCCCTTTGGTACATCTGCACCATATTTGCTTTTCTAAAGGGCAGTCTGTTTTTGCTTTACATTACATTTGACTTATTATTCTCCTCAGTAGACTGTAAATTCCTTGAAGACAAGCAGTAACAATTTCTACTTTATATTCTCGTTGGTGCCTCACTTATTGTTGGCAGTCAGAAAAGGTTTACTGATTTAAATAAAAATGACAGTGCAAACTTTTAAGATTTCAGTTATTTTCTTAACATGAACATGAATCATAAAAGTCAGAAATTAGGGCTACAGATGCAGCTCAGTGGTAAAGTGATGGCCTAGCATGCATGAGGCCCTGTTTCAATCCCCAAGACCAAAGGGGGGGGAGGAATAGAGGCTAACCTAGCCTGAATGGGTAAAAATAGGCATTCTCAACCACTTCTGTGAGATGTATAAATTGGTACATATAGTCTTTCTGGAGGGCAATTTTCTCTTGTTCATGTGATGCCTTAAAAATGTTCATTTCTTAGGATTTAGAATTATTCTGCTAGAAATTTATTTTAAAGAAATAAGTAAGCTAGTAAGCAAAAAATGTACTCAGAGGAGTCAACACACTTAATGAGTGCACATTACATGCTGGGCACTGAGCTAAATCCTTAAATGCAGAATCTCACAACCCTTAGCACAAACACTATTATTAACCTTATTTCATGGATAGGGAAATTAAGACACAAGAGTAATTTTTGCAGGGTCAAGTGATTACAGATGACTTTTTTAAAATGAGAGGACTAGCTGATTTTAATTTTGCACATTATTAGTCTTCCACAAGTCTACTACCACAATGAGCGTGAATTACATGAATCAATTTTGGGGTGGTAAGGCAGCATAGATACAATACTTCTATTTTTCCTATTTTCTAAGAGTTCAAGAAAAATAGCCCAGAACAAAACAAGCAGATGTCCTTTTTCATTTACTTTGAAAAGTACTGTAAAAAGTCATCCTCTTAGACTTTAAAACAAGAACAGTATTTACTGGCTGGGGTTATAGGTCAGTTGGTAGAGCACTTGCCCAGCACACCTGAGGCACTGAGTTTGATCCTCAGCATCACATAAAAATAAAATAAAAGTATTGTGCCCATCTACTATAAAAAATATTTTTAAAAAACAAAGAAAGAATAGTATTTACTCATAAAACAACCGTGAAAACAACATTCTGGATCCTCTTCCCCACACAGCATCACTCAGCCAGGTGTTATGGTTTTGCCAATATGCAAGTAGATAGAAAATTACGTTGTCACTTATACTGAACAAGACTTTGGACACAAGGATGGCATTTACAGAGGAAAAATTTCATCCTCTCTACAAATCTCCAGAGGTTTTACATACCCCCAAATCACTTAAGTTTGGGGCTTTTCTGGAGACAAGCTGTTTTGCCTCTATTCTAAAAACACTAGTCAAGGTTCTCCTTCCCTCTCTACACTAAATCAACACAAATACTTCCAAGTCAGATCTAATCAATGCTAAGATGGCCAGGTAAAAACTCCCCAAAGCCACACCTTACCTCTTCAGGAACAATAATTAATGGATACTTGTCCTCAGATAAAAAGTTGAAAATAACCCATACTTTAAATGCATCTTCTTCTGTAATAAGCAGAGGGCTCTTTGTGAGGTTTTTTTTTACACAGAGGGTCCAACACATTCTATTGAATTCAATCTTGTCAAAGTTATCTTGGACCTAAAAAGGAATGAGAAAAAACTCCAATAAAACAGTTCAAAATAAGAGTTATATAAGCCAAGTAAAATAGAAGGAAAAGCTTTCTTCAGGATTCTATGTTAATCAATTCAACTAACCAACAGCCATACCCTACATATTTGCTCTAAGTAATGCACTTTCAATTGTTCAACTGAGAACATTATGTTTATCCTGACACTGAAGCAATGTCTGTCCACATCACTAACTGGGCAGTTATTGACCTGTCAAATAGTTTGGGTTTTTTTTTTTCATGAATACACACTAGCTTTTATATAGATTAGCAACCTAATAAAAAGGAGGAACTGAGAATGTCATTACTCAGGTTTAGCCACATCAGATACCTCATCTATACCTATATGGTCAAAGAAGAGTCTACCTTTTAGAAACTCTAAAAAGATAGCCTTGTCATTCTTCACTCATTCATTTAAGCAATCAATATTCCCTCAGCATTTACTATGAGCCAAATATTATGCTATAAATTAAGGATACAAAGAAATAAGAACTTGCTCTTAGAATGTACACAGTTTATTAAAGAAAACTTATGTAGCTGGGCGTGGTGGTGCACAACTTTAATCCCAACAGCTTGGAGGCTGAGGCAAGAGGATCACAAGTTCAAAGACAGCCTTGGCAATTTAGCTAGGCCCAAAGCAACTTAGCAAGACCCTGTCTCAAAATAAAAAATAAAAAGGGTGGAAATAATTCAATACCCAATACCAAAAACAAAACAAAACATAGGTAAAAGACGAAGTATAATGTAACAGTGTATGATTCAAAAGATTTTTTTCACTATTCAACAAGTAAAGTTCAGACAGCAATTATTATTTGCCAGGAAAAGTGCAAAGACACCCAACATAATACTAGTCCGTGTCTCCGAGGAACATAAAAACAAGTACTATGATAAACAGAGAATTCCATGGGAACACAGAAGAACTAATTCAATCTTAAGATTCAAGGGAAGATTTGCAGAATGAGTGCTATGACAACAAAGCTGAGTCCCAAAGGACCTTCAAAAGTCCAACAAATTAAAAATGGGATGTAGGGTATTCCAGGTAGTAAAACAGAATGTGAAAAAGTCCAGAGGTAAAGACAACTATGGTTAGTTTGGAAGGACCATAGTAAGTTTAATGTAAAGGGTGCACTTGATGCTGAAGGGTGATATCAGAAAGGCTCCTTATAAATGCAGCAAACAGAAACCATCTTGAGTTCCTTTAAATAGAAAAGAAATTTATTGGAAAAACAATTGGGCAACCTCTCAGATCCAAAATGAGAGCTGGAAAATAGAGATGCTGATATCAGGTTACTACCAAGGCAGGGTAGGGAGCCAGAACTATATCCAAAAACAATCACAAAAGAGTCTGGGAGAGATGTGAGGATACCACCATTGTCCACAGGGGTTGCCACGCCCTTCTTGATTCTCTTGCCACTCTCTGCAGTGGGTCTCCACTAAGCCTGGGCCACATTCCTGTGCTCTGGCTGCCAAGAAGCAGGAAAACTGATGATCCAAACTTTTCAGCTCTCAATGTGAGACAAGTTCTGTTTCCCACCAAGACCCTATCGGAAGGAAAACTTTTAAATGCTAGAAAGACCCAAAAAGGCAAATGTCCACTACAGGGAACATAATGAAAGGTGAAGCTAGAGAGGTAGATGAAGACTGGGTCATAAAGAGCCTGATCATTCAACTTTCTACTGATGGAGCGGGTGGATCCACAATCCTCATTTTCAAAGCCATATTTGGGGACAATATGAAAGATGTCCTTGAGGAGGCAGGAATGGCCAGCAGGACATGAGCAAAGCTTGTCATTTTTGGAGAGAGATGAATAAAAAGTTCTGTGTACTCTGTGGAGAAGAAATCACTAGCTGGCTGCAGGGAGAAGCTTCTTTTGATCTCTAATTAGAATTTCTGGTTGGCAAACCAGTCCCCTCACCCACCCACCCACCCCAGGAGTAGGAAGATCTCCTTTTGTTTTGCCTTCAGAACCTCATCTCTGTGTGGCACTATTTTCCATGCCTACATCACACACAACTGACTCGATAGAGGGAAAGCAGCAAGGGCAACAGTAATTGCTGCTGCTAAAGGTAAATATCATCCCTATTTCACAAATCAGGAAATAGAAGTTTGGAAAAACTGAGTACTTTTATCAGGTTCACATGGCTAGTAAATGTCAAAACCAGAGTTTCAACGAAAGCTCAAATGCCAGTTTTTTTTCAAACTGCTGGCTAAACTCAATAGAAGGAGACCATCTATGTCATAGAGGACACCTATGCAGAACTAGTATCAAAGGCCACTACCACCAGCTCCACCCACACCCTGAAAACACTAAGTGGAAGATATGCCACACAGGGGAAATGACATGTTCATGAAAGCATATCTTGCTCTGAGGAACAAGAAGTGATTCTATGTGGAATATGTGGTGAATCATAGAATTCCCAAAAGGAGCTAGAAAAGTGGCTGCAAAAGCAAAGAAAGACCAAATTATGAAGGACTTAATAATTCTAACAAACAGCCTGTACAAAAACACCAGATGAAGGGTTTTAGAACAGAAAACAAGCAGGTCATAGGCAGCCCAGGTTAGTACTTTGTAGAAAAGATGATATTTAAAGTGAACTTTAAGATATAGAGATCGTTCTAAAGGACAGGAGAAGAAAAGCCATGAGCCAAGGCACAAAGGCAACAGGTGCCACCTGGGTATGGGGAATGGTGAGTAGCCAAGTTGGGTTGACAAGGCTGCAGGAATAAGCTAAAGGCTGATGTATGCTGTGCTTTGGAATTGACTTTATTAATATAGGAGGAAATCAGCAAAGGTTTTTGAGTAAAGAGCAACAATTAGTTCTATGTTTTAGGAAAATTATACAGACAAAATTATACTAGGTGGGTTTCAATAGGTAAAAGACCATATATAGAGGGGAAAAAAAAGATCAGAAAATTACTGCAAAACTACCAGGCAAAAGGAATTAATAACCCCAACTAGAGTAAGATCTTGGTAAAAATGGATAGAAGGGATGAATATAAAACAGATAAGATTTGGGGACTAGATCAGTGTCTTGACAAAACAAAGGAGAGGGCTGGGGATGTAACTCAATGGTACAGTACTTGCCTGGTATGTGCAAGGTACTGGGTTCAAACTCCAGCACTGCAAACAACAACAACAAGGGGAGAGGGAAAGGGAAAGTGTTCAGTTATGGACATCCTGAAATTCTGCCGAGACATTTAGATACAGGTATTCAAAGACAACCAGAAAAGTGACATGCAACCTCTAAGAGAGGCAGATTTATGAATCAAATGCAAAATCAAAATGACTGAAGTCACAATTGCCAATGAGATCACTGAAAGAGAACATAAGGCAAGAAAAGAAATGAGGTCAAAAATGGAACTTCAGCAGCTGGAGTTGTGGCTCAGCAGTAGAGGGCTCATCTAGCACGGGCGAAGCCCTGGGTTCAATCCTCAGCACCACGTAAAAATAAAATAAAAAGGTATTGTGTCCAACTACAACTAAAATTTAAAAAAAAATAGAACTTCAAGGTACACCTGAAGTTCCATTTTTACAAAGGGAGAGGAGGAAGAGTAATTATAATGAAAGAACCAAAGTGGTAGAAAACAAGAAACAATGAAAACTGTGAGAAAATAGTTAACAAAAAATTTTTATTAATAGTGTCCAATGCCACAGAGAGGTCATAGGAAAAGGGAGTTTAAAAAAGACCACTATGGGCTGGGGATGTGGCTCAAGCAGTAGCGTGCTCGCCTGGCATGCATACGGCCTGGGTTCGATCCTTAGCACCACATACAAAGATGTTGTGTCCGCCGAAAACTAAAAAATAAATGTCAAAAAAAAAAAAAATCTGTCTCTCTTTCTCTCTCTCTCTTAAAAACAAGATCACTGATTTTGCAATTCTGAGATCACTAGTTACCTCCAGATTGTAACTGGGGCCGGAAACCAATTATATTTTCCATATGTCAGATTGCCTAAGAAAGAATAGTAGCTTTTTGAACCAAGTTCACTATATCTTACTTATTTTTAATAAGCTGTCTGGCTCATTTCTTCTCTAAAGCCTAATYGACTACTTTGGTTTATTCTTGTTCAAAGGTATATTAAATGATGGGATTTACACTTTTAAAAAAGTACAATATTGCCAGGCACAGTGGCACACACCTGTAATCCCAGCAACTCAGGTAGCTGAAGCAAAAGGACAACCTCAGCAATTTAACAAGACCCTGTCTCAAAACAAAAAATAAAAAGAGATGGGGTGCATGCAGTTCAGTGATAAAGTGCCCCTGGGTTCAATCCCTAGTACTATAAAAAGTACAATATCAATTCATATAAGAAAAGTCCACAGCAACCTTCATACTTGATGGTGAATAAACAAAAAGCCTTTCCTTAAAGTTCCTCAAGGAATAAGGCAAGGGTGCCCACTCTTGCCACTTCTCAACATGGCACTGGAAGTTCTAACCAGAGCAATTACACACTAAAAGAAGTAAGAAGCATCCAAACTGGAAAGGAAGAAGTAAAATTACCTTTTTGTGTATGACACGATCTTATATGTAGTAACCCCTAAAGTTCCACACAAACACCACTAGAATAAATGAATTTAGCAAAGTTGCAGGACACAAAAATCAACGCCCACAAATCTGTTACATTTCTATATACTTACAATGAATAATCCCAAAACAAAATTAAGAAAGTTATCAGTTACTGAACAGAGACACTTCACATAAGAAGAAATACAATCAGTCAACAAATATATGAAAAAATGTTCAACAACTCTAGCAATTAGAGAAATGCAAATTAAAACTTCACTGAGACTTCCTCTCACTCCAGTCAGAATGGAAATTATCAAGAACACAAGTAACAATATATTGACAACGATATTGGGGAAAAGTTACACTCATACATTCCTGGTAGTACCACAAACTAGTACAACCATTCTGGAAAGCAATATGGAGATTTCTTAGAAAACCTGGAATGGAACCACAATTTGACCCAGTT